CCCCCAGCACCACATGCCAGCCAGCCTGCCCCCTGGTGGGCTGAGCTGGCCACACACACACACACACACACACACACAAATAAATAAAATTAAAAAAAAAAAAAAAAAAAGGAGCCTACATTCAGCCAAAGGAATGATGCTCACCTCAGGCAACTTGGGCTGGCTCCTTGAAGATGCAGATTTCTTAAAATTGCAATATTTGATTCTTATTTCCTTTTTTTTTTTCCCCACCTATATTTTTATGTCTTCTTTTTTATGTATTTGGTATGGGGTCTTGCTACACAGCTCAGACTTATAGTGATCCTCCTGTCTCAGCCTCCCCAGTGCTGGGATTACAGGCATGCACCACAAAGCTGGGTCTCAGTGGCCGGCCCAGCACACCTAGGGGGCGGGGCTAGCATGGCATGCGGTGCCAGGGATAGAACTCTGGTCTCTAGGCTTGCCTAAGCAGGCACCTAGTGGACTGCACTATCTCATTACTGTAACAGCAAACAGAAACACCAAAAGGACCCCCAGGGTTTGGAGGCAGATTTATTTACATCTGTGGGCACTGATAGGATCATTCGCAGCATATCGGTCCCCAAAGGCTCAGGAAGGGAGGTTTTGATGGAGTTGGTTTCAAAGGGCAAGTACAGAGGCGGGGTCCTGGGCTGTCTTTGATTGGTTCTTACAGCATGCATCATAGTGACTAGGCATTTCTAGGAGACAGAAGCAACAGGAACTCTAACAGAAATTAATACACTGGCTGGCAGATATTTTCTGCTACACAACTCCAATAGGACTCCAGTGCTCTTTTTTTGAACTGGGTAGTGGCTAGGGAGATGTATTCATTTTGTGATATTACAACTTGTGTACTTTTCTGTATATTATACAGAAAAGGTTTAATTGAGGGCTGGCCAAATAGCTCAGCGGATTAAAGTGCCTACAATCAGGGCCAGGGTCCAGGGGTTCGATCCCCAGGCCTGCTGTGCAGGCCCTGCCCCCAGGGTGCACTGAGACAGCAATTGAAACTGGGCGTGGTGGCGTGTGCCTGTAATCCCAGCTCTTGGGAGGCTGTAAACAGGTGGATCACTAGGAGTCTGATCTAGTAGTGAGACCCTGAACACCCTGTAGACCCTTCCCTAAAATACAAAAAAAAAAAAAGAAAAAGAAGATATGCTGTGAAAAAGCTGTTAGTCGACCAAGTCTTGTAATTATTTTTTTTTTCAAGTCTTGTAATTATTCACAAGTCCCATTTGTAGAACTAAATTTCTGGGCCCTAGCATGGTACCCAATGCAAGTGCTCTACCATTGAGCTACACTCCCACCCAAATATTCGTTTATTCCCCCTGAAATTTCCA